CTGATTTACTATATGTATATCTTAAACTAAGTACATTAGAACTATTTAATTATATAATTAGTTGGTGCTTTTTTATATAAAAAATTTTAAATTAAAAGTCTAAGTTGTGCTCTTATATATTATTATATTTTTTTATATTTTTCTATTATATTATTGTCACATTTTCGTGAAAGTTCGCAATAGAAATTAAATTAACTATATAATATTTCACCAAGGGTTATTATCTTTAGTTAATAAATTAGGTGCTTAATCATTATTTAATTTTACAACTTTAGGTGTAACGATCTCAAAAATTTAAAAAGAAATACATATAATAATTTGAGTGCGGAAGCGAAATAAATGTTAAGCTTAACATCCCTTACACATAACTCAACAGTACTAAGAAATATCACAGAATAAATTATCTAAAAGAAATACGGAAAATAGAAAAACAAAGGAAACTATAAAGTATCTAGCATCTAATCGTAGTCTTCTTACGGATCGGGCTCGGGAACTGGGTACTCATGATCTGAAATAGTTAAACAATGGGTGAGCTACACTAACCTAGTAAGGACATCACAATATATCGCCGTCACAGAAGTAAAGGTTGGTAGAAAACCAAAAACAACAAATGGAACACAAATTTTAAACCAATACATTCATTAAAATTAAAATAATTTTTCATTTTTCTTATCATTGAAGAACCTGTGAAAACAACCTATAAAAACAATAATACTATACAGATCATAACTTCATGCACAATCAGTAACATAAAACATATCATAAATTCATATTCATTAACAATAATTAATTATCACCGTTTTTCATTTCACCAGTCTATTAGTATCCATGGGGATCCATATGGGTGTTCCTGCTACACGTGAACTATTTCTATTAACAATCTTAATTTCAGGGCCGTCTCCATACCCCAACTAGTATGAGTGTCATGACATTAAACCTCAATACCCTGTCCGGTATGAGGGTGAAGCGGGTCATCCCCATATCCTGTCCGGTATGAGCGCCAAATGACCAAGTCTTCATACCCTGTCCGGTATGAGACAACGTTCACGATAAGGTTCCCTATGAACCCGGTCCGTCCACTATCTCCCAAGATATCTAGTGAGACTGTCATCTTATCCATTTATCAGATCACATCCCATTCTTGTTTGTCCTTAGTCTCTGTCACCAAATCAAACATAAATACATAAACTAGTAACATGCATCCAACAGTGCAATTATATCTTAGATTCCCAAAATCAAGCAGTAGTCAAGTAAGACAGTAATATATGTACTTAAACCGTACAATATATAAACCAGATATCATCATGCTTTTAGACTATACAATAAATCAACAATAATCAACAAAAAACAATGTCCGATTGGGGTTCCATTAGCAATGCGTAATTAATCAAGCACATCCATTTAATTTATACAAAGGACCGTATTATTATTTATTTGAACTTTAATTACATGATAGGAAATAGGGCGAAGGGTCCTTACTTGATTCAACACCGAAAACTAAATGGTTGATGCGCCTACGTGCGGTCCCTAGGTTCCTTGAATTTTTCTTTGGAAACTGAAACGCGCTTAAGATACCTACAAGTGTCCCAAATAAGCCAAAAATCATACCCAGGACCTACTCGGCCAATTTTGAAAATTCTGGCACGGCGGCGATCCGCCTCGAGTTGGCTGTTTTCAACCAAATTCAGCCGAACTTGCACCAGTTCCTGCGATAAAACACACTTAGGGCCCTCAATGGGTCGAAAAAATGCAGAAAACTGAAACTCACCAGCAGTGGGGCTCTCCGGTACGGCGGCTCCTCCGGCTCACGTTGTGGTTGGGTGTTTTGCTTAGGTTAACCTGTAGAGAAGGAAACGATTGTCACAACAGTAAAAAAATAATATCGAACGGGAATCAGGAAGGGCCTCATCGGATGCGTTTTCTAAAATACCCAGTGGCGGTGCTGCCGAGCTTTGGTGGCGTTTTTCGGCCAATCGTTCAGTTCTTTCACTCCAATGTGGTCATGGGTGGGTTTAAAATTGAATTTCGTGCAAGAGAGAAAATTTATACCTCGTTTGGCGGTCGAAAATTGCTCCGATACGGCGGCAGGTGGTGGCGGTCGACTCCCCAGCGGCTAGGCTGTCTTCTCCGGCGAGAGGCTCTGGCGGCTAGGGTTAGGGTTTGGGTGCGGATGGGGTTATTTATACCCATCCGCTTTTGATCTGAACCGTCCATCGTTTTTAATCTGGACCGTCCATCGTTTTTAATCTGAACCGTCTGATCGCGATTAAATAATGAGTGAATCTAAACTGTTCGATTCAATCTAGGCCGTTCGTGCGCGGTTCAATCTGGATCGTCCGTGCGCGATG